AGATCTCAGGGCAGATTTCTGTTAGGCGCCTTTTGGATAAGGGCAGGCAACAGGTGTGATGTGGTGTTGCTGACAACATTGACATCGGATCACATGATGGTTGCCGTTAATGGTCTCGAGGGGATGGATATCACGAACTATTTGACCCTCGGCTTACGGTTAGAGATGCTACGTCGAGAACCCGACATAAGCCATACTTTGTCTTCTATGCTTTCCACTCACCGTGGTGTGTGGCGTCATTAAGCTCCCGTTCCGGCTCGTCTAGACTCCCCTCCACCTCGCACTCCCAAAACGACCAAACGGCCCGGCACATCCGCTGCGGAGGCGCCGGGGCTCGATACGATGACTCCTCAACCGCTACGAGACCAGTAGCTAACCTTGAACAATAGCAAAATTACTCCGCCCGAGGAAATGGCACCCACCCATCCCGTAAATGTCGTTAAAAATAGGTCGCGGCCGAAGCGGTGATTTTATTTCTTTACCAGACCATCGGAAATGACATCATGGCATGACGGTCAAAACCCAACCCATCTTTTGTGCTGGGATCGCGGGTGTGGCGCTTCGTCCCGAGATCCTCCGGTCGGGGAATCACCTTCACCCCCAACTCCCGTCTCTCGACCTGGTCGTCAAAGGCTTGCCTAGCAAATCTAGCTGAGGAGCAATATGGGAGCAGACTGCACAGTAAACGCACCGACCCAAACAAGGGGCGACTCGTCAATATGGGAAGGCGCAACACAACGAAATCGATGTCCCACCCCGCAGCAACCACACGGGACGTGATGGGTTCCTGCATGACCGGCCCGCGAATAACTTGAACCAGAAGGCCTCGACCGCAGTAGTGCCGTGAAACGGGACCCAGCAAGGTAATTTGCTGCTGGAAGACCATCGGTTCGAACTGCGGATCGTGAGCGACCTCGATCATGTCCTTGGTAATTTCTCATGGTTCTCGGCATTTCCTCTCTTCAGGGCCAGGGGCGCTCATTCATCGTCGGTTGCCCAGAATCGGATGGCTTGAAACTTGGAGAGCGATGTGGTCGAGGGTTGGATACGAGTCGGCGGCGAAAACTGGACGAGTGTGGGCGGCCAAACGGTCTCGCATATGGACTCGGATCGATTGTTCAGTCTTTTCGCCGCCCCCCAGCCTCCCCCGCCCGTTCCTTTCGTCCCTGTCTCGCTCGTGTTGAGGGCGAGAGCACCGAGGCAGGCCTAAGACGGGGACGGCGACCCGACACGAGAATCACACCAGCCATCGCTCCATACGGCTCGTACCAGCTGCTGTTGTGCACGGAAGACTAGGCCTTTGTCCCTCGGACCCCCCAAGAACATGGTACACACTATTTGCAGACCTGGACCTCCCCGGTTTTGTCACGGCCTTACTAAGTACTGGCTGTAGCACAGGCGAGTATCAAGGTTGGAAGGCGCTGGTAGGTAGCATGGATAGTGCCAACTTATAAAGGGGCACCGTCCGGACGCAGCCTTCTTTCTCCCCATCTTGCCATCAACCGTGATTTGAACACTCGCTCCCGTCTATCCACCTGGTCACTCACTTGTCACCCGTGAATCCCAACTACTCCCGCTTCTAATATCAACCACTACACGCAAACACCATGAAGAACACCGTCGCCCTCGCCCTCGCCCTCGCCTCGGCGGGCCTAGCTAGCGCCCAGGCCGTCTACGGCGCTGACAGCACCTTCACCTGCACCAAGCCGAACGCGGCCTATTGCGCCGGCAGCTCCCTCGGCACCGATATCATAATTCGCTGCAATGGGACCGTGGGCCAGCCCGGCCGTTGTGGAAACGCATGTCCTCCCTTTCCCACAACTCACGCAACATGGACAAGCAACCAACTAACACCTCCCAGAACCTCGCCGGCCAGCCTCCCCTCGGGTCCGGCGGCGCCCTCTGCTACCAAACCAGCCCTGAAGCTGGTGACGCCGCCTGCGAGAAGAACTGTGTCGTGTACGCCCCGAGCAGCTCCTTCACACTCCCCGCGAGCCTCTGCACTCCGACCTACACCGCCACCACCCAGTCACTGAGCACCACCATCATCATTGAGACTCCGCATCCCACCAACTCCCTGACCACCACTACCATAATCGACGGCATCCCTACCACCAAGAAAACAACTTGCACTGAGTCGTTGTCGACCACCATCATCGTCGATCCCATCCCCACCTCCACCAAGAAGACTACCGCAAAAACTACCGCAAAAACCACCGACACGACCTGCACCGAGTCGCTGTCTACCACCATCATCGTTGAACCCATCCCTACCCCCACCAAGTCATACACCCAGACCAACAGCACCCTCACTAGGTCGACCACCACCTTCATCACAACTCCTACCGGGACTAACAGGCCCCCGCCTGTCACCGCTGGCGCGGCAAACAACAAAGCCATGGGCGGTCTGGCAGTGGTGGGCTTAGCTGCCGCTTATCTGCTCTAAGTAAATCACACACCTCATTCACCCACCTGCTTTCGGCGTACCTGAAACGGGGTTTCTAATCATAATATCATATCATCTACACTCCTCATGAAACGATGCCAAGGGGGGAGGGATATTGCCATTGAAAAAAAAACGGAAGAATGGTTCACTTCGTCACATACTTTCTATCTACGAGTAGGTAGATAGATCCTAGTCAATGAGTTGTTGGTTTGGTGTTATAATTCTTTGTAATATTCGATGAAGCATGAGGAGTCATAGCGAGGCGAGGGAGGGGCTTGAAAACGCTGGGTCTGTTTTATTCTTGGAGTTTGGAGGCTATATGGGCTTGGAGATAGTTTATGGGAAGAATATAATGGTTGGAGTGAAAACCATGGTTACTGGTTGCGGTTGATACTTTGAGTCAGAGTGTTCGTGATGATGTTTTGTTGCTGTTCTTGGTCGGCCAATTGACGAGGGTATCGTTGTCTTGTGCTCTCGCTATTAGCGGGTCGATCTGTGTATCTCGGTCATACCCGCGACGGGAAGGACCGGGAACTCAAATTATACATGTGGTATCTCGCTTCGATCCCGTCTCGAGTCACGCCGGTGTTTCCACCCGCAACGAACGACGATGAGAGTACCCGCGGACATGTGAATGCCATGATCTACGTCTTTTGTCTACCTGGAAAGCAGACCCTCCGCCGCGTCATACTCCAACACAAGTCCCCTTCCACCTCTAGAACTTGAATCATGCACTTCCCTCGCCCCCTCCAGCAAAACCAGTCTCCTCTCCCCACCACCTCTTAAAAACCCTCAGCCGCTCCGTTCTTTCTTTCATCAACTCTCTTCCCACCTCTGTCTTCGCCATCCCCTCCAACCTCAACAGCTTTTCATCCAAATGCTCCATGCTCTCGTCCATTCCTCGTCCCGTCTTGGCGCCGCCAAAAGTGAACATGCGCCCTAGCCCAATTGCGCCAATAGCGTCCAGACGGTCTGCGTCTTGGACGACGGCGAGTTCCGGGTGTTGGGCAATGACGGAGAGCGTGTGGGACGGGTCTTTGACTTCGGTGGAGTAGGAGACGGATAGGCAGATGGTTTGAACCTCTTCGGCGAGAGCGGGGGAGGCTCCGTGGGCGAGAAGGAGGGATGAGATGGGGGAGGGGGAGGAAGAGGGGGTGGTGTATCTGGTGGGTGGTCAGTGGTGGGTCTGTGAGAGGGCCTTGGAGGGACGAGAGGACTGCTGTGGTAAGAAGGAGGGTGGGAAGCGAAAGGGAGGGGGAGAAGAGGTGATGAGATGTTGCTTTGCTTGCAGGAGGGGATCGGCATGGTGGTGAGAGCCCGTAAGGTGGGCGGGTAAGTAGGAGATGGACATGTAGGTGTGATATGCAGATGTAATGTGGTGTTGTGTAGTGGTGGTCAGTGATGGTGGTTGCGGCGCGGGGACTCACTTGCGATCACCGATGTCGTGGAGGAGGGCCGCTAGCTGGATAACACGCAGGTCGAGGTCGGCTCGGTTCTCTGACCTGGAGTAGATGTGCCGCGCCAGACCAACTACACGCAGAATGTGACTCCAGTCATGCGAAGCATCGTAATTTGACATGTACACTTTGACGTAGGCAGTTACCGCCTGAACGAGCGGGTCGCTGGCGAAGGTGTCCAACTCGGGTGCGTCCATCTTGCGCTGATGTGCTCGTCACAACTACCCCCCCAACGGCGAAAAACCGTGAAGGTTGGCTGTTTTGATGGGTTGTTTTGATCGTCAACCGTCTGATCCCGTCCACAATAGCGGTGAGTCACGAGACTCGGCTGCGGGGCTGCAGGCAGCAAGCCTCCATTGTTCCTTCGATCTGGAGTTGGGATCTCATCCCGACTCTAAAGTTTTAGTCCCTACACAGCAGGTCGGCAAACCGTTGATGTCCGCAGTCCTTGAGGGCAAGCCTCACGTGAATCCCGGCTTGAGCACCAAAGGGGTAAATTCAATCCACCCGTCATCCCGGTGTGGGGACGGTTCCTGGCGGCGCCTACAGATGGCATACGAATGATGGATTCCAAGGCACCAAGCAGGAAATTGCTCGGTTGCCCCGTCTATCGTGCGCATACCAAAGCGCATCCCAGCCGCACACCGAAGGTGGCAGACGGGAATCTGTGCGCTCTGGAAGCGCCGCGCCTGTGCGCAAGGACATGATGGCGCCTCTTGCGTCTGTCGCGTTGGCCAGCGAGGTGACGGTCTGCGGGAAGTTCCCGTCGGCAGTCTGGATCGTCCACTGGCAGTCTGAGCCGATTCTCGCATGGTGGCTGCCTCCCACCCATGCTCATGCTGGCGGCCCAGTCGGCGGCCCGGTGCCGATCTGGCAAGTAGCCAAGGCGGTGATCGAGCAGCAGGATTGCCTCTCGTCCTGGCTCAACCTCTGGATGTCTTCATCAACAATGCACATGGACAATGTAGCGCAATCATCGATGTGATTTACCGCGTCCACGCACTTACATCCCGCGACGCCGCGGGGTTGATCGTTTTGCGGACTGCACACAGCGTTGCAAAAAGCTAATTCTCAACGTCTCAGTCACTAAATAGGACGGTTGTATAGTGTAGCGGTCATCACATCGGATTCTGACGAAACTCATCTTCTGAGCATTCCGGTAACCCCGGTTCGATTCCGGGTACGACCTCTTTTTGGCCTTTGCCAAGCTTTTATGTTTGAGTCGGGCTCCTGTTGAAGTACTTGAGACGTCCACTCCCGCCCACGTGGCGGGCTGACCTACATAGGTGGCCACGAGCCATCGATATGGTTGGATCATTCAAGTGGCACCTGTAATCGTTTGCAGATTTGCTTTTGCGGTTCAGGGTTGAGGGATGTCGCAGCCCATTGTTGCGTGGTTTGTGTGTTCTAAGCGAACTCGATGATATGCCACCTTGGTGGTATCTATTCGCAGCGCTTCCGTGCATAGTACCTTGGCTTTGAAGTACTACGATATATCGATATTGTCCTGATTTGCTATGTCACCACGAGTTGTGTACATGTCAACGTTGCCGTCGTGTGACAGCCTTCGAGGAAGGCAGTTCACGTGACCACCCACACAAAGCTCTTCGACTTGATGGCGGGGATTGACCTGCAGGACCGGACCCACCAGGCGGTAAAAATGGCCGCCAGCAGGGACCGGCTCGCCTGACGTAAGAAATTGGAGAATTGATCCACCCTGACGCGGAAGGTGGGGACCTCTGGCGGCTATTTTTGCGCACGGGCACAGGGGCATCAACGCTGCCAGCCAGTGAGAGGCGTTCGCGGACGGTTCCATATCACATTGTTCCTCGGGCGTTCCACGGTCCACGGAATGAATCAAAGGCACCCGGCGCCTCTGCGCTTAATGGCTTCCCGACTCGCGTGGATCTGATCTGTGATCTGGCACTTGGCAGAGCAATGCTTCGAGACGCGGTGCATATGTGGATGGGGACGTGGAGGACGGATTACTCCGCGGCGAAGCTTCGACGTGACGGCTTTGAGACCTCACAGTTACCCGCCGAGGCTAATATGATGTCCTGCAGCTCCTGGGCTGCTATCGCCTGGATATATCGGAGGGCTGACGATAGGGCCGCTGTACACACGGCAAAATGAGGTAAGGCTGTGTACTCGGCTGAGGGTTGCTGGGAACGATCCGATCTGGCCTGAGGTCGTTGAACAGGAGGAACCTGGGGTGCGTGGTGTTGGTATGCGAGCCAGACTGTCGTCCAGGCTGTCGGCACCTGCCGTGTTCTGGCACAGCCGACGTGTCGGAGAGACCTTCTAGCCTCTTCTGTTCCGCGATCACAACACCTTGGTGATGCCTCATCAAGCTTCGAGTCCATCTGTCGTGTGCTGTACTGCTGTGTCCTCTGTCAACCGGGAAGGTCACTGCGTGGGCTGACCGAAGAAGCAACTGTCCGCGACTTGTGGATGCCACGGACAGACAGCCAGTCAGCGTCGGAAGCACACGCACCGCGTTTCCAGCGCTCTGCATTCGCTCGCTCTCATAAGGTGGTATGCGGCGATAGTGTTTTTTTCTCGCATCAAGACACTGCTCCACAAGCAGCGCGTGATCGAGCCAACGGCAGGGCTGGCAGCATCAGCAAAAGCGATCTGTCTCTTGACCTCCGCTGCAACTTCGATGCGAAGAAGACTGAATCCTCCGCGGGCGCATGCGGCCAGGCGGCCATGTAGGCCACAGCTTTAGAGTCTGGGGAGCGAAGTCGGCTGCCATTGGCCGTGTCCGATGCCGTTCGCAAAAGGCTCCGTTGAATTGTCTGTGTGATGGGAGGTGCGCAAATGGCGCGAAATCCGGCGTTCGTGTGCCGTGATTGGCGAATGGAAGCAGGGATTTAGACGCCCAACTAGGCCCAGAGAGGCATGGCGCGGTAGGTGATCACCAAAGCACGGGCCACAGCATCGATAATCTGCGGGGCTGGTCGCTCGATATCCGCCGTCCCATCACACTCTGCCCGCGACCACGCCCGTCTTCGCTGGGAGCTTCCATCTCGTCTTTCCGCCCCCGCTGCATGCTGCCCAGATGGCCTGTGGCCTGCCCCCAACCCTCCTAGTCTGGGATCCGGCTCTCTGTCTTTGCAGGCAGATGCTTAGCCGCCCATGGTGCTGCAGTTGCAGTGCAGCGGAGCAGGCCCGGCTACTGCTGCACCTGCCCAACGTGACAAGGCAGGTCACTGCGAGAAGAACAGGGGAGGGGCCTTGCTCGGGTAGCTTAACGCCTGTTCGTGATATTGACTGCACTCTGCGGGTCACGGCCTCCACATCCCTCCCATTGGCTTCGCGGCGGGAAGGAAGCTGGCTGCCGTGAGCACGCAGCGGTCGCATCGGCCGGCCGGTTGCTGGCCTGGTCGACCGCCCCTCACACACGCACCCATCGCTCAGCCCACAGCCTGGGTAACCACCAGGCTCGCTGTCGCGATCATATAAGGCCGGCCACCCTCCGGCCTCTCCTCTCCTTTCTCTTTTTTTTCTTCAGCAAGCCTTCAAACAACAAAAACCAGTTTCTGTTTTTTCACCTTTTTCCCCTTTCTTTATTCTTTCCCAGAGCTGTGCTCTGCTTAATCACTTCAAACTAATATCCAAAAAACCAAATTCGGTAGCTTGCTGGTCTCGCTATCTCCCCAAGTTAATCCATCCACGACTTTCCCTGAAATAGCATTTGCTGGTTTTTGCTTGCTCGCAAAACGCCCCGACGGTACACTTTGTCTCGAGTACATTAATTTCCACATTCAGTCAACATGTCGTCCACGCTTTCGTTTGGTCTCCGTGTTTCGTCTGGCGTCAAGACCGTCCACCTTCTTGGTTCCTGGGACAACTACACCGGTCAACTCCCGCTCTCCAAGGACAAGACCTCGTCCAAGTCCGGCTCATGGAAGGGCACCTTCCGCTTCCAACCCACCGTTGTCGAGCCCGGTCAGCGATACTGGTACTACTACATCATCGACGGCTACCACGTGTCGCACAACCCCAGTGAGGAGTCCACCGTTGAGCCCACCACTGGCCGCACCCTCAACATCCTCGACGCTCCCAAGAGCTCCAAGTCCTCTAAGTCTTCTTCTTCCTCTTCCTCCAAGAGCTCGTCTCGCCACTCCCGAGAGTCCCACAAGTCCTCCAAGAGCTCCAGGCACAGCAGCTCGAGCGACATCCCCAAGGGCCGCCCGCTTTCCATCTCTCAGATCAAGGCCCCCAAGCCCGTGTCGCCGAATGCCACCCGCCACATCCTGGATGTCGACTTCGACGAGGACGAACTGAGCGAGCGCTTAGCTCAGACCGGCATCTACGACGAGTACGAGTACGCCGAGAACATTGTCGACGACTTCGGCTCGAGCTCGCCCGTGTCCTCCACCGGCTCCTCGTTCTCGTACCGCTCCGGCTCATCCAGCCCCAACTCAGATCTCTCGGGATACAGCACCCCTGGCTCGGACTGCTCATCATGCACCTGCGAGCGCTATGGCATCACCCGCTCCGGCGAGCGCGTCCGTCTCGACTGCGGCGGCTCCCGCTGCAGCTATGAGGACTCGTGCTCCTCGTCCGAATCCGAGGCCGAGTACGCAGAGCGCTCTACCCGCCGCCACGGCGTGGTCGTCCGTCAGTGAACAGCGCGCGCTGCCTCGGGCGAGGACGAAAAAGAAGACTTCAACCCCAACCCATCAGGACTTGGAACAGGACAGCGACCATATGGTCCCTCCCATCCAGGAACACCACCAAGAACGTAACGACGTCCAGGGCCGATTCCCGCCAGGGAATTTGTTGTTGAAACAACGGCCGTTCCACTCACTACTTTCGCGGTAGCGGGAAAAAGTGACGGAGTTTGGAACTTTCCTCTCCACACCAAACAAGAGATTGTTTTGGCGGTGTGGCGCGTGTGTGAAGGCGTCGCGAGATTTCTCTCCCTTCGGCTGCAGCCTGGCTGGCCTGGGTTCGCTTCGGCGGGAGCTGCAAATCCCCGCCTTCATCACCACCACCACTTACCTTCTCTTGGGAGGGGAGAGCTTCCCTCCGGGACTTCTTCTCCCTGTTCTTCTTCTCTGGAGACAACCGCACCACTAGTGGGTCGACACTCGCGGCCCCACGAAAGTGTCAACCCCCCTTTTGTTCAAAAAAGGCAATTTCGTGTCTTCTGTGGCATTCTTGAGAGAAATGTTTGTGCTGTTTTAGTACACAACAATCTTTTTGTGTTTCATATCACTGTCAAGTCTCAGAGTATTGGGTCCATCTGCGATGGGCTTGGTCTAGCTCTGGGAAACAACAAAACAGCAACTGCAATGGGGATTGTGTTTCGATAGAGGGGCCTTGTTTCTGTTTGGAAAGGTTTCCTTCTTGGCAGTTGCTGTTGTGGATGTTTGGCGTCGTTTTGACAAATTGTATTCTAGTTTTGGACTGGGCTTTGACGACGGTTCAGAACTGGCCGTATACAATTATATTGGGGAAGGTGGAGGTAATGGGTAGACGACGATTGAATCTATTCATTGTAAAGGCACTTCAAGTTGATGTGATGTGATATGTCCTGAGCCGTGATGCTGCTCGAAACCTTGGTTATACTATGTACGACCGGGTGGCCCAACATCACTAGATTGAGGTCTTCGGTGCTTTCGCTTCCAAATGGCGCTCTGTTCTAATGCCGTCACCTGTCTGATAAGCTCAGTGTTATCCTGTCAGGCATGTCGGGGTGAGCCCAAGCAGTATATGGCAACTCTATACCAATTCCACCCATTATTCTTTCCAATGATGTCTCATGCGTCCGCCTTCTATACCGGAAAATGTAACCTGAAAAGGAAATGTCTAATTCGTTTCACTATTCTCTCCACGCTTTCCTCCCCTCATATCCCGTCGCGACGCACAGCAACACCCCATACCAGCATGCTAATGGCCTGGTTAGTAGATAATACAGATGCGGGGGCGTCGGGAGGGGACCGAAACATACCACGAGGAACGAATAAAGGACAAAGCCGGCTGCGAGCCACATGAAGACGAACATGCGCACGCCGACATCCGCATGGATGTTAAGATCTGATTGGGCGGTGGCGGCAAACTTGAAAGCGAAGCTGATGACGCTTCCGATGATCGCTGCAGCACCGACGAGCACGTTGGCGATGAAGGCGGCAATTGCCAGTGGCATTGACCACCGCCGAGAGCGGACTGCCAGGGGAG